AGGCTTTTAAAGAATCTAGTTACAATCCATTGAATAACCCTTTTATTGTTTTGAACAGCCTACCAACTTCTTGTCTCATGATATGGAAGTTCTCTCTGCTCACTTGTCCGCTGCGCCATTTCAAATGCGTAAGGAGCATAAGGAGCATCTCGAATACCGGTTTCGTAACTTTTGAAAACTCAAAGGCAACAAAACTCAAATGCAAAAAATAACACATATGATGATAAGTATCAAAGAAATTGACAGTAGACTTTCATTTTTAAAAAGCATCCCAAATAAATGTTATCCATTTGTAAAACTCAAAAGGTTAATACCTCAAACAAGAGATGCGAATAAAGTCAACATTGTATTCATTATAGTCGAAGAGAATATAACACATTTTGCTTGTAATATGCATTTCCTTGAGTTTGAGTTGATATCAACACAATTTCTTTACAACAGCCCAATAGTCAATAAAAATAAATGAGCAAACGTGTCTGGAAAGAGGTAACACAAACATAATGGCTTTTGATCAGCATTCACTGCTTCAGCCCAAACTTGGTACAAGAGGATTTTTACAATACTGTTTGAAAAGCCTGCTGCTCGGTCATCTGTGACAGCTCAATTATGAATATGGTATCATTAGACAGGGTACAAGTTACACTTTACCATAATAAATGATTCGAAGGTTACATAAGTTATAACTTTTTAATTAGAAGTTACCAAAGTTGGGTACACCTTTTTCTATACGCACTGTATAACTAAGTTGCTTGACAGTTTAACTTTGTGAAATTTAACTAACGAATTCATTGTAGTATAAGTGTAAATATATTCAATTATTGCAACAATTTCTCACTTCTTTATATCACCACATGATTGCGGAGGCTCGTTTGATGAGTTTGGGACAGTGAAAAGCTTTCGGATATACTCTAAATAGACATTGTAGTAATGTACAGTGTAGTCCTTTAATGCATAAAGTTGTGTTAATTGCCATGTTACAATAGCGAGACACTGAAAGATGTGTGCATTAAATTTGATTACATTACGAAAATACGCTTTTGTTCGAAGAGGTACGAGCGGGGGTAGTACCTGTTTATTGATTGTGAGCTTGGGTGCTGAAATGAAGCTGCATTTTGAAAGAAACTGTTTATTTATATAAAAAATAATAGACAGCTTGCATTCATGCTGAAGGAAAATTTTGATTCTTTGATTGCACACACTGAAATTGAGTTTTATTTAGCATTGATCATTGATGCGTGTTAGGAACATAATAATGAAGATTGTACATGTATATAATATAGGGGAACCCGGGGCGTGGTATATACAAGGACCCACCTCCTTCAAATATATACACTTGCATATGCTAAGGTTACTTACTTTTATTCCCTATACTGGAGATAATGATTATGATAAACAATAATGTGATCAATAATGTTGATAGAAAGATAATGTGGTGGGACATTAGAGGCGGTGATTGGTGGCAGGGGCGGATCCAGCCGGCGGGAGGGGAGGGGGCCCAATTCGTGAGAGAATATTTAGCGACGAAGGCGAAACAGCTAGGGGGTAGTGAGCATTTTTTGGGGGGCCCTCGAAATTTGAAAAATCGCACCCCCCCCCCCCCCCCCCATGGGTCCGCCACTGACTGGTGGAGGAGGATCTTCATGTGGTTGGCTGGAAGCATCGATCTATCCTTGCATAAGAAGGAAAAACAGTTTTTAAAATGCACCTTTATATAGAGTGTCGTGTCCAATGGATTTAACACATTATAGTCACAGTTAGCATGTTACACTGTATCATAGATGATTACTAGAGTACAATAATGAATATAAGACATTATAGACATGCACAGTTAGACATGTTACACTGTAGCATAATAACGCCTCAAAGAGGAAGTAAACTAAACGCAAATTGTACACAATTAAACAACAGGGGAAATTGAACTCAGTAGCAATAGGGACTTTTAGATTTGCGTGGACTGTTACGTGTGACGTCCTTTTAAGGCAGGCACTGGTAGTGCCTTAAAAGGATGTCACACGTAGCAGTCTTCGTTGTCGTCGTGCAAATCTAAAAGTCCCCATGCAGTGTTTGCATTTCGGCACATCATAACAAAGGCAGGCTTATTTTAAGGGAACGGTGCTTCGTAATCAAAATATTGCTGACATCCGAAATTGTGAATAAAAACTGTTTTTAAGTAAGACTCATCAATTATGTGAAATGATTTATAATCTTACTTCAAAGCAGTTTTTATTCAAGGATTTAAGGTTTTAAGGATTTATCCTTTCAGATGCTTTTTTTTAATTTTATGTAATTCTTGTTTATGGTTTCTTCCCATTTTCTTATCAGGTAATGAAAACGAAGTGAATATGGCATGGAAAGTTGATAATAAAAAAGAAATAAGCAAGTCTTGAAAATGTGATATTCAAAGAAAGAGGTAAAATAAGCAATGTTGTGTCGAGAGTAGCTGTAATGTGTAGATATCATCAACAGCTAAGATATGAGAACATTGGTAATCGAGGCTGGTTCGTCTTAAAGGTAAAGACCAGTTATGGTCATGCGATTGCATTGTGAAAGAAACGTTGTGGAATCGATCAGAAAAGGTTGATCATCTAGTATCTAGCATCTGCAAGGTTCTGGAATCATCAAAATGATAAGTAATTTGGCCCATTCTTCGTAAAGTTACAAGCACTATACACAGAAAGATGTATATGGGACTACCCTATATCTCTCACAGACCATGAGAGAAACAAATTTACCAAATATATGAATTAGTAGGCGGTTTCCCGGCAAATTTTTTATCATCATATATTAGTCAAAACATTATTCTTTCACATGATTGGTAATGAGAGCTTCCATTTCATTTTTTGAGAGGGGGGCGTTTCCAATACTGGTCTTTACCTTTAATGTTCATGTGTAATGAGTATCGGCATAGCCATCGACATAATTCTAAAAGCAGTTACTGTGGTCCGTGGCTAGGGATTATCATCAAGTTTAGACCAAATCGCTTCTAACTTCTTACTCAAATCGTTGTATCTTTTGTTTGTTTTGATTTTGCAGCTATATGCGAATAACGCAAAACAGTGTTTTAAAATAAAAACGTTCTCCAAACATTTGCATCGACGTAGATGTAAGTAGGACTACTCAAGACAATGGATATACAGCAGGATAACAAGGGTAAACCTGGGACAATCACTGGTGACTTCTTCTGCAGTCATCAAGAACCAGTCTTTGATACCGCCTCAAATAACAACAACGACACAGCAAAAGAGAAGGTAAGTGGCTTAGGTTAGAATCTCTAAGTAGGATGAGTTAATAAACGAACTTATCTCCAAGGTATTTTGAAATAGTAAATCTTGATTTATTTTTCTTCTTCCCGTTATGCCCCAGTAATTACGTTCCATCCTCAATTGACTCTGTGACAATATCTAAGTGGTACGGTATTTAAAAACGATAAAAACAAACAAACATCAAATCAAACATACGAACAGGAATTTTTTTTTTATAGGAAATGCAATATCATTGAACCTTCAATGGATATAGTTATACTCTTTATTGTATATACAGTAGCGGATCTTGGTAGGGGGACTCAAGATCCCCCATTTACATTTATTTAGGCCCCTCCCCTCCAAACTAAAATGTTACGAGGCACAAGTCATGTAGAAAATTAATACAAGCTCTCCACCCTTACCATCTCCCCCAAATCAGGGCTCGTAGTTTTCATCTCCTAATCGTGCCAACTTGCTATTAGTTCATAATATACAGTTATGTTAAATAAATTGTTCGACAGGCCCGGTTAAGGCGCATTTATCATGATTAATCTTGCATTTTCTATTTAAAAAAAAAGATTTCCATTACATGTAGGCAGATAATGTTTGAAAAAAAGGCAGAATGAGCCGCCCCCGGTCACCTTCTAACAGCTGGGCCAAGAAAGGAATTATATAATCACGCTGGTTTCTTTTCTTTTCTCTGTAGAACGTCTCCAAGATACCAAGCCGCTGTCAACTTAATTGTCAAGAAGGATCTCTATTCGTATACGAACTCTCAGACTCTATGAAAACCCCATTCCTCATTCTTCCAAAGATAAGGAAAGTAAGCCGGCAACAACATGACAAAGAGTTTTTCTGCTTAGAATACGGCACCGAGACAAATCGATTCAATATCTTCCTCACCATTGAAGACAAGAGGTAACCATATGAACTCCACACAATGTTGTTATTACATAGCCTATCAATAGTTAAAAAGTTTCTCTAAAGAACATTGAAGGTTCTGGTCATGCGATTGCATTGTGAAAGAAACGTTGTGGGATCGATTAGAAAAGGTTGACCATCTAGCATATAAGTATTGGTGTGTACTCTACAAGGTTCTGGAATCATCAAAATGATAAGAAATTTGGCCCAGTCTTGGTAAAGTTACAAGCACTGTACACATGTATGTGTATATGGGACTACGCGATATATCTATCCAGTCTGGATAGATATAATAATTTACAAAATATATCAATTAGTAGGCGGTTTCCCGGCAAAATTTGTATGATCACGTAATAGTCAAAACATATTCTTTTACATGATTAGTAATAAGAGCTTACATTTCATTTTTTGAGAGGGTGACGTTGCCAAAACTGGTCTTTACCTTTAAAACTTTTTAAACATGTTATGTCCTGGTTATAAAAGTGACATATCATTTAGGTTTGATCACTCTAAATAATTGGCAAATATCAGGTTGTTCACTACAAACAGTTCGGTAACTTTAAAGATTATCCCCCATGAACGACATTGGTTTGAATTGATTATTTATGCTTCACTTTTTCTCGTGGTTTTTATGTGGATATGTCTCTTTAAAAGCCACTTTAAAAGCTGTCTGAAAAACCTCTGAGACCATGATATTACCTCGATAATATGCAAAGAAAAGTATTTTTGTTGTTGCAATCTTCAAATAATGTTGAAACAAATACCTAAACTAAAGGAATTATTGTTTTATCATGATTGATGTCCTATCATTCTTTCATTTTGTATTCATTAAAAGTGATGCAGACCGGTGGGAGGTTGAGCTGTGTAAGATAACAGAACAGGCACCTCCTAGTCCTAGTCGCCGTAGAACAAACACTGAATCTAAAAAAATTCGAACAAAACGAGCTTTTACCAATATTGTTTCAAGTCCGTCCGCGCCACAGGGCTTCAGTTTGGAGGTGAGTCTGAAAACAACAAATATATTTTCAATTACGTAACGACGTAGTAAATAATGTAAAAGGGAATAAGGGAGTCCGAACTGCTATCTTGCTTGATTTGATGATGATGCCCGGGGATGATGCACACGAGAAGAAAGCAGATGGTTCTTAACCTTGTTAAAGGGATTGGGTAATTTGTCTCAGATTCTGAAACAAAATCTTGGATTTAGCTCATGCTACAATAATAATTATAAACCTTAAGGTCAGCCAGAAACCCCATGACTTTTACAAGCCGATCGTCTGACTGATTATCAAAATATCTATGATTCGAAATCGAAATCAAATTTTGCGTTTTCCTAACGATTTTCATAACACTTTTCAGGAAAACCAGTATGGTAAAACTGGTCACTCAAAGATTTTTGCTTTTTTGAGGCACTTCTTGGTCATATTCTGAAGCGCAATTTTATTAGGGCTTCAATATTACACCATTTCACAGACACTGATAACACGTATAGGACCATGCATATCAGATTAGATTTTTTCAAACGATCCCTTTAATGATGGCTAACTTCAGAAAAAAAATGTGAGGAAAAGAATTAACTAAAAATTATGTTGTGAAAACGTGTTCCAATGATAACCAACCAGAGCCTAATTATACTTTAACCCTACAGACGAAACCAAGGGATGGCCAAAGATCTCCCGAGGAGGGCGACATACGAGATGTCGTGGGTTCTCCGAATGTCAGCCTCACCCCTAGCTCTGGAAACTCACCAAATAGTGGTCTTAGCGATGAAGATCCAGACGGAGCTCGTGCGGACAGCGTCCTCGATGAGACAAACTTGACTCGGAAGCTAAAGGAACACCAGCAGCAGGAACAACAACGACAGGAAGAGCAACATGCAACAAGCGATGAAATATTAAGCGAGATATTACCTCTTGTTTCTGACATGAGTATTCCACAATCCTCTGACCATCAGCTGCCTCGTGAACTTCGTCCTACAGAACCTCCCTACCAATGCACGTAAGATCTAATGAAAAAAGGCGTATCCGGACACCATCCACCTGGACATCCATCCCCGGATAATTACCCCTAGACAACTACCCCCTAGGGCAACTACCCCCGGACAACCACCCCCTAGAATAGTTGTCTTGGGAGTAGTTATATTAGAGGATGGTTGTCGTAGGAGGGAGTTGTCCGGAGTTAGTTGTCCGGGTGGTAGTTGTCCGGGGGTAGTTGTCCTAGGGGTAGTTGTCCTAGGGGGAGTTAACTGGGAGTAGTTAGTTGGGGGTAGTTATCCCAGGGGGTAGTCGTCCTAGATGGTGGTTGCCCTAAGAAGGGACATGAAAATGAGCACCATTATATCAAAGGGTAAGGGTAGATTTCCTAATATTAATCTTACTTCTACTTTGTACTCCATCTCCGAACATGTTCTAATTAAATGGAGAAATGAGAACATCATACTCACCGCAATGAATTTAATTTGCATTGCGCTGGTATGCAAGTGCAGAAAACATGCTCATTACTGAGCTCATTAACATGACTGAACAATTGAACATCATGTGCATTGTACTGGTTCATATTATCATTGATACATATCAACATTCTGTTCTTAAGAAACGTGTGAAATATACAATAAGAGACAGGGTAGATCACATTTTTTTTAAAGTAGACACAAAAGTTATAAAGCTATATTTGTATGACACCTTTTAACGTGTCTTTATCTTTGTGATGTTTTAAATGCACAGTGATTGTTACCGCGATTGTATATATAAACGGAATCACATCATTTAAAAATAAATAAATCACTCACTAAAAGTAAATTTGCAAATCTTGAGCAACTTCACGAACACCCAAACGTTAAGTTATTCACACATTATTTTTTACTGGATTCAAACTGTCTTTTTGTATAAGTAAAATTGTTTTTCTTTCAGGCACATAGAGATTGAATGCAGTCAAGAGAAGTCGATTCTCACCATCAACAAGAAAAACTTCTTAAGCACTGGCGAAATCAACGACATGTTTGTTTTTTACCGGGGATCTGTGTAGTAAGTAGATTGAAGTTGATGACAAAAAATTGTATATTCCTTGAAATTTAATCAAAGAGGAAAATATAAAACTTTGGAATTGTAACTTTTATTTTCAGATAAATAGGACAAAAATAAATGACATGTACTATATTCACCTGTATTCACCTGTCTTTTCGGGCTCCTTAGTATGACAATGTCTTGTAATGCCCTCCCATAGTTCATCAGTACACTACTGCAAATTGTTCGTTCCTTAATACAATAGGTCCATTGCTGGATCTGTGGGAAGACTCAACAGGATTATCACCTGCTGGGCCTATAACTAAACTTGTCGAGCTGTGTTGAAAGATAGGCATCCACCTCTGATTTGAATCTGTTTATGTTTATGCTTGATTAATTCATGACAGTGAGAACATTTACTATATAATGAAGAGATTTGTATGACCTTTATGGTGTTCACCTTAATAATAAATATGGTTGTTAATATTTGGGATAACATACTATCACAAAAAAGATTTGTTCTTTGTCGAATCTTAATTTGCGTTTTACTATATCATATTATTCTCTTTCATCGAACTATCATTGTTACGAGTCAGGACTGTATTTGAGTGGTAAGTAAAATCAAAATGGAGTCACGATGCATGCCACCAAACAACCAAAAACTGCATGATACCATTGCATGAATTAGAATTAACAAGTTTATCAATTTCTGTATCTGTTTATCTGATTTTATGATAGAATGCATGACGAGATAGATCATAACAATGGTGCTGAAATCAAACTGAAATCAAACTATAGCCAGACATAATTACTTTGCATACACATTTATTATTTTTGCAAATTAATTTATTCATCGAGATTACATAATTGAGAGCCCCTCTTATGATATTCCGTTTCTACTGTCTGTCAAAACCAAATAACAAACACTTTTTATTTCTGTGGTGCATGTGTTTTCATGCTTTAGATCCGATGTTATATTCAAGATTAAAATTTTGAGGCGAATTTTATAACAATTTAAGATTTATCAAAAGAAATTTCATGCATAAAAGGAACAATATTTACATCAAGAGAATGTCTAATGAATTTCTTTATGCAATATTCAATATGTTTATTATAAAAACATCACTATCATTTTCCTTCCTCCAACTCTTCCGTTTTTTTCTCTTCTCATTTCTCTTTCCATTTCTCCTTCTGGCGCACAATCTTTTCTTCTGTATCTTCCTTATCCTTCATCTTTATTATTTGGTTAATTTTCTTACTCTCATCCCTTCTTTTTCTTCATGTGCCATTTCTTTTCCTCCCTCAGCTTAAAGTCTTGTCCGGAAAGTTTCCAAAGACAGCTGTTTATAGGAACCCGTATCTTGCAGTTGAATAACCAAGAACCTGTTGATGCTAGAAGAGCAATAGACTACATCACAACCAGCGCAGGACAAACGGTAAGCCTGAAAAAGAAACAAGTCTAACAAATTTCTTTTAATGAGTAATTTTGAATAATTGAAGTGATGTTTGTAAGCCTTCACAATAAAGCTTTGAAGATAATTTTTTATTTTACATATATTTAATGGAAATCCCCACACATTTTGAATAAAACCCACAATATAACTGACATAAAATTACTTTATTTTGTTTTCATGGAAATAAAATTATTCATATTTATTCATTATATTCTCATTCATTGCTGTGATACTTTTGTGTGTTAGTGGTACCAGACACGATTAGCATTAAATGCTATTTTCTGGTCCCATTTATCCTTTCAATGCTAACCATTCACATTTGATTGTTATATTGATGTACTTTTGTTTGGATAATAAACTTCAAACTCAAACTCAAACTATTTAAGAAATTTTCTGTTTACAGGTGGATTTGTTGGTGCAGTTGTTCCCTCTTGGGGTACGAGTGCGGCTGTGCGTTCCATCTGTAGCGGCTCTAGGCATTACCCTCCATGGAAACGAGGTAAGGCAGAATCCTTATATAAAGTTTGTTTAAGTTAGGTACTCGTTTTCCCCAAGCTCTAGTTTGGCTCTATTCCTTCTGGCGGTAGAAGCTCTACAAGAGATGGTCAGTATAGTCAGAAGAAGTTATTTTTGTTTCTCCCATTCTTTTTACAATTTTTTGACTCGATGTATAATGTTTTCAGATCATGAATATGCATGAAGATGGTGTAATGAGTAGGATAGCTGATGGTATGAGGTGCGTCTGTCCAGCTCTCTCCACTACTGACATGCCTAGCCCATCTGCTGAACAGCGATCCATCACAGCTATAGGAGACTACCATGTACCATTTGATGCTACTGCAGAAGAGGTAGGTCGACCATTACTAAGACCAGGCCTGGGACGGACTGAGAATCGAAATTGGGTTGGAGAATTTGGATGCGATGGGCCAACTCAGCCTATTATCAACCGGCCCTCAGACCACAAATCAACAGACCCTCAAGCCTATTATCAAGGGGCCTGAGGGGAAATCCCCCCCCCTAAACAAACAAAAAAAAAAACTCTCTGTAGCCAGTCCACCCCTGGACCAAGCTATGTGCATTTGACATGGGGCATTTGATTGGTTTGGGAGGGTCACAGGTGTCAGTCTGGTCACCCTTTTATATATCGGACAGGGAAGACGGGATCGATATGACATTTCACATAGACACATAGAACATGTTTGTTGTAGAGGTGTAGTGGTCGAGTAGATACAATATCTTAAAACCCTTACCCTGACCATCAAGCATCTTCTCTTTTCAGGTTGAAGAAATGTTAGATTCTGCAATCAAAAGTGGCGATGGACTAGTTCTACAGCTCCAGCCAACAGAGTTCTACCAAGCCATAGCTCCAGCTGCCTTACAGAGACGTATTGTGGACCGTGATGCTGTACTCAACCCCAGACCACACCGTAGACCATCACTAGTTCATCAGAGTCTCATGAGTAACCCTCCTTCTTAGGGCTGAATGGAGGGCCAAGCAACAAGAACCGAGAGGATTTTCTAAAGTTCTTGACTTTCGTTGCTCGTTTCATTAAAAATGCTGAAATAGATCTCACCTCCCTGATCGCATGCACTCGTTGAATGCCGAATTCCTCAAAAGTGTTCGTTTGAATTTCCAATTGGACCAATAAAATTAATCTGAATCTGAATCTGAATTTCGGAAATTTAATGAGACTATTTTCTTCTTATTAAGATTAATCTGATCGTCGATGTGTGTTTCAGAGTTTAACACGTTCTTTTCTCCATTATGTCGGCCATAAATCTATCTTAGATGAAAGTTTGCATCTATAACATGAACAAACTGCCAATGCTATGGCATAATCCTGCATAAGACTACGATATAAATGGTGCTGGTCTTCATGAGTGTTATAAATATCTTCTTTTCATTTGGAGGAAGTCATTTCTGAGGTTCTGCGGCCTATTCAATGACATAGTACATGTACTTTCATATTCGCAAACTGTTCAGGTTTAGAATGTATTAATACACATTGAAGCAATGACAATAGATATACCATTAACTAAAGCTTTTCGTCTCGAATTGATGATGATATATACTCGAAATTGATATTATGCATTAACACCTAGTAAGAACGATAAAGAGAGCTACACCATTATATTCAGTCTAGTGATGAAAAGTTTCTGAGGTATGCTGTAGAAAATTGATCTAACTGCGATCGCAAGACAACAGGTTCCTGAATAGGCCTTGCCTTGCAAGTTTCATGTTATATTTTATCGATAAAATCTTATGCAATTTGAAATCACAAGCATTAAAGTTTGCAAACATAAGACTCCATACAGAGACATCGTGTATTATGTACGTTTAATTGAAAATGTAATTGTTTTTGTCTCTCGAAAGAAATCCTACATCTGTATATAAATCATATTGAGAGATATCTCTATACTGAGAGATAAATAAGTATCGAGACCGTCATTTGGCTTTTTTGATTAAATCTGCCCTTCTAAAGTGTTGGGAGCCCCAAATTCGCCAAAAACGTGATGGCAAATTTCACTTTAAATTGCATCATAATGTGAAAGAGGCGGATGTCAAACTTCTACAAAGATCCCCCCCCCGAAGGAAAAAAATGTGTTTGAAGACAAATATTGATTTTAAAAAATACTTTTCTGTTGCTATAAAGTAGCAGAAAACCTAAATGTTGTATTCTTTCATCAATATTCGACTTAAAACACTTTTGTTTTGAAAATTCTTGCAGAAATGTGTCCCAAATGACATGCTCTTTCACATTATGATACAATCTAAGTAATATTTTGCCATCAAATTTTGTGGGGCTCCCAACACTTTAGAGGGACTTTAATCCACATGAGCTAATTGTACGTATATTAAAATGCCGCATTTTTACTGTATCACCATGTTATGTCAAGGAAACCCTTGCCAAATGATGTTTATTATCATAAATCGTACGAATGTATTTAATAATACACTCTCATAATTATCAGCTTTTTAGATGTGGTGAATTTGGGAATTTTCATCTTTCGTATTGATACATCTTTTAGTCAGTTGCAATCTTCATTCCCTCCACCTGACATAACGGAAAAGATTGATCAGATTTTCATCAACATTACTGTTCTTTTTTTTGTCAATGATGATCATATTATGCCAGGGGTTTATTCTCACTAAACTCTTTTAATTTGAATTGTTTATGTTGTAATAATGCTAATGAAATTCGGAAAGAGGTCTGATATTAGAGCGAGGATAGGTTTATTAGCACAATAATATTGTAGTATTGTTTGGTTGTGCTTGTATATATCGGGCATTATAATCACGGTAATAACTAAATATGCTCATTTTGTTGATGTACCATGTGTTTATGTTACTTTCTAAGGCATATAGCCTAGTAATATACAGAATAAAATAATTGGAATCGTATACTCTTTTTATTTTCACCAATTGCTAGTGTTTAGCAAAAGTGTCTGCCCATCCTGCGTTGTGCATGGATTACCATATTCTATATCATATTGTTTGGTAAGACACTGACATTAAAAAAAAATACAGAAAGTTCAAGTTGTCTTGAATTACGTTTCTTATAATTATAAACTAGTTACAGATTTCAAAAATTAGTTTCGTTTGGCTGGCATTGTTAATGGATTCTGTTTGTTTGTTGGGTTATGTGGAAAGACTATTATTATTTTAGTATTATACGGATGAAATGTTGATTTAAAAATGTGTATGTAGGAACATGAATACGAAAATTATTTTTAGTTGTCCATTAATTTTGATTTGTTATCGGGTCTATATAGAGGTAATAATTTGTTGAGATATAGACAACTGTCTTGAAAACAATAAATTCATTAATATTATAGGCTTACTGGTGTAAATTCCTTTTGATTGTGAAACTGCAAGGGTGGTAGGGGGTATACGAGGGGTTGGAGACTGACGGAGATAGAGAGAGAGAGATGAGGGGAGAAGAGAGAGAGAGAGGGGGGAGAGAGAGAGGGAGAGAGAGGGAGAGAGAGAGAGAGAGGGAGGGAGAGGGAGAGAGAGAGAGAGGGAGAGATAGGGAGAGAGTGGTAAGTGCCTTTTGGGAGAAAAAAAATAAGCTTGCTCTCTACATCACTTCCTCTACGAATGGATGACATCTTCTGCGCTGTACCAAAAGTTGTTTGCAAGTGGTGTCAACAGTCCTTCACCAGGCTACAAAGTCCGTGTATATACCATGAACTATGAGACAACGATTGTGTTTCCTTTTGAGAACAATAATAATTTTATTTCAAAGTCACTCTCCCACACCTCAAATTCTATTGACATGAATGATGCGACTTCATGCTGAGTAACTTCTTTGGAATGCGATATTTCGTTGTGCTTACTACTGCCATGCACCCCTCTGGAAGTTAAAATGATAGGTCCAATAAATCATGGAACTAATCTAGAATAATGAGTATATTGTTTATTTTTATTTAAATGAGTTCTATCATATATAAATGAAATGAGATCAATCATAAAATAATGTTAATATGAATAATACAAGTATTGCAAACTTGATTTTAAAAGTACCTAAATAAAGATTGAAAAGACACGACATCAAATGGAACAGCCATAATACGTGCATTCAAGATACATGTACAGCGTACATACAGTGTAACGTATTGAGATTAACGGCCAAGCGCAAGTTAGACGGATCCTTGGAATTATTTATCGAAAAAGTGGTAATTATACTGACATTTTTTCATTTTATTTCGCTATTTTATGTCAAGATATGAAATAGGTTCATGTATCATAGAAGATTTTGTATACTCTTCGAACTTTTATTCGATATTTAGTGATTATCGTGATGCAGCTACGAATGCAGCCATGTAAATTGTGGTCCCATTCATATAAATCTACGTGTGGTAAATTTGCCATGTAGATCCTAGACTACTTTTTTTTCCAAATTTATGTGACTCTTATCAAAATATCTGAGACTTTTTTGAGCCACGGATTAAATTGGAAGTATACATCATTACAAATTTTGATCAATTTCCTTGTTGTTTCAATGAAAAATTGTTACCAAAATTAATGGGAATTATTATTAAAATTATTTGAATGCCCTCGCCTTGTCCTTGCACTCAAAACTTTCCGCATTGACAGTAGGGGCACTGGTCAGAGAATAAGGAGCGCCAGTGTTTGAAAACGAAGTTGAGAGGGTGAACATAATGCGCATGTGCGGGATGGGAGCTAAAGTTCTACGTGCAGATTAGCCTAGTGCAGATCATGTCTCATGAATGGAATATCATGACCGTTTCATACACATGTTTTCGTTCGTGACGTTATGGCAATGCAGCGCTATGCGGGTATTCACAATGGCACAAAATACACTTGGCTACGCCTCATGAATTTCTTTTGCACAATAGCGCTGCATAACGCACTCACACCTGTGTATTATATGTATATTAGATCTATGCAACTTCTTGAAAAATCTCAACAATTTAACAAAACGATAATCTTGTCTTTTTTGCTATTCGGGTATTCACAATAGCACAAAATACACTCGGCTACCCCTCATGAATTTCTTTTGCACAATAGCGCTGCGTAATGCACTCACACCTGTGTATTATTTGTATATTATGCAACTTTTTTTTCTTCTTCAGCCATGATTCCATGAGTTGTACATACACTGAAGCTTAGAAGTTAGACATACATTTGTAAATAACATCTGGCTCAGCTCAGGGTCTTTGGTCTAGCAAGCTTGAAACTGAGTTTGGTCAATAGCCATAGTTATACATGTACATGTGTGTTGATATTGCTATGTTGGATACAGAACTGAACTACTGATACTGAGGTCCCCTTGATAGTCTACTTAATGTCAATTTTTGGCTAGGGGAACTCATGTTGCAGTACCTCTGTTAAAATATGAACATTTTTTTCACTGTATACATGCCTGCACATCATCTTGAACAGTACAAACATACACCAGATGGTGTTCTGTCATTTCAGTATAAGTAAAGACCATTCCCTTCTATTCTTTTATCTTGCAGCATTACTGAAAGAAGAGGAAGATTACTTAGTAAGACTAGACATGTCAGGAAGCATGTCACCCCAGAGGGGTACCATGACCCTCAAATGGGACCCCAAGAACCTGGAGATTCGCACCTATTCAGTCGAGAAGACTTTGGAGCCGTTGGTTACACAGGTCAGTTGAAGTTCAAGTTCATCAAGATTAAATAAATCCATTTAATTCAATTCATTTTATCATTTATTAGTCATTGTATTGAATTGCTCGATCCTTTGCAAAACCGAAAAAGGAGACATTCAGTGTAGTATTTCAAAACAGAAAATTGTCATGCAGTATTAATCTTTCAAAATGAAAAACAAGCAAAGGGAAATATTTTTGTTATAAATTTTGTTCTTGACTTGATAGTGATATACAGTGTATGGTCAGTTGAAGTATATCAAAATTAAATGTATCCATTTAGTTCAATTCATTTTATATTTCATTAGTCATTGGATTGCTCGTATATTTGAATTGCTTTAAAATCCTTTGCAGATTATTTTTGATTTGATTACATGTAGGTCAAACAGAGGAAGGAGACATACAGTGTAGTCTTTAAATACAGAAAAATTGCAATGCAGTAATAATCTTTCAATTGAAAAACAAGCAAAGGGAAGAAGAAAACAAATTTAACTTGTTCTTGACATGATTGTGATATGCCCTAATATGGTCATTTGTGTTGTTTGTCTCCTAGGTAACCACACTAGTCAACACCAAGCCATCCAAGATGAAGAAAGGTCGATCTAAGAAGGCTCATGTCTTGGTGGCTGCTGTGATCAAGGCTACAGAGAAGTTCATAGAGAAAGGAGAGGAGATTGCTCATGAGATACCAGATATTGAAAGGGAGATGCTACAAGCAGTGGAGGAAGTCAGGAGCACCGGTGAGGCTGAACAACACACATCTCAGTCCTAAGTTTGAACTGCAATAGACAGCAGAAAGTTGAAATTAATTCAACTTATAAACATTATTAGAACGTTAATGTGCTGGCTAGAAGTGAAAAATATCTCCTAAATCAAAATTTTAATTGAAATCTCTGCCAATTTAGGAGAAAGAAAAAAAAGACTTTTATTTGTTGCATAAACATGATAAAGTATTATAAAAAGCTGTGATAAGTTGGAAAGACAATCACATGTAATGAGGCCATATCAAAGCAAATTACATTACATTGTCCATATTTATTTAAAAAAATGTTTGCCTGTGTGTGTGTCTCCCAGTGTTAGCTTGTATCAGCATGTTAATATAACTTCAAACCATTCACTGAGCCAAATAATGCCATGATATGAAAGGAACCAAGATAGCTATCTTATTGAAACACCTTCATGATAACATTGTTATTAACCCACAGGTGAAGAGATGCGTGTAGCATCCAGTGAGTTTGCTGAAGATCCATGTTCATCTGTTAAACGAGGTTCCATGGTGAGGGCTGCCCGTGCCTTACTATCCGCTGTCACCAGACTTCTTATCTTAGCTGATATGGTGGATGTACATCTTCTACTTCAAACTCTCAGAGTCGTAAGAATCTTGCAGCCTTTTGCTTTTTTTTCATTATTTTTCTCATTATATTTCTCACATCGTAGGATATACAATTTTCTATTTGTTTCTACATTTGCCCCACATTCAAACTCAGAATTCTAAGAATAATGTTTTCAAGTCCTCCATGTGACTTCTTCTAATTCTTTTTCTTCTCTCTCAAACTAATTTACTGGAATGTTTTAAATCCTCTCTATTGGTATTATTTAGACTTATAAAGATCTTTTACCGGTATCTAGGATATCAAGATGAATTTTGACATTCCAATATAAAGTCTACAATTCTTCCTAAAAAATGTCCGAAAAGAAAATCCTATTCTAGTAATTCTTTTTTGTTTCTTCTTCTGTTTCCAGAAACCTTCTAATGATGTTCTTTACATTGTTTTATTTTCTGACATATGTAAGTAGAGTATTAACCTGATGACATTATTGTTGTCGGTCTATGACTCTGAACATGTACTTATCTATATTTTGTTACTAGGTTGAAGATGACTTGGATAAGATCTTACGATCTCAGAACCCGGAAGATCTGATGAGCAATTTCAAACGCTTTGGACAAAACATGATGGAGTTCAACGACATCTCTGGTCGCAGACAAAATGTAAGATGAATCATCTTTCATTCTGATAATCTTAATATTCAGTACATGGATGTTTTGTCTTGTTGGTGTAGTCTTGAAAAAGACTGTTGGTTTTCTTCCTTGGCTGATAGTTCTAAGGAGAACTATAGCACCGGTTGGAGAGGATAGGTGGCAGGAGTGGTTATGAACAGGTTGACTATCCTTCGCCAGCTATTCCCCACTCCTGACGAGGGATAGGTAACCTGTTTGAAACGTCAATGAAATAGATGAAAGTGGTGTTTGTATATAGTACTCATACAGTGTATCTATCATATTTGACACTCCTGGGGCTCCACAATAATCAAGTATTTTAATATTTGCTACTGTTTTGGGTTGTCCAATGTACTTTGTCTAACACATGAAATATGTATGATTTGTTTATTGTTTTAGGATCTGAAGGATCCTCGACGTCGTGATGAGATGGCTGCTGCAAGGGCAGACCTCAGGAAACACAGCACTATGCTCTTCACTGCTTCTAAAGTAAGATTCGCCATAGAAAATATTTACTGACTTTGAAGTTAGCTTGTTATAATGATAGTATTTTCTAGTATATATTTAGCTTCAGAAAATTCATTTTCAATATAAAGGAAAACCACCATGTGTTTGTGAAATAGAGTTTGTGCAAAACCTTTTCTTGTATTTTATCTTAACAACTACAGGAAATATAGGTACATATTGATTCCTTCAGTTATAATGTTACATGTTTTCAGAGCCTTTCATTAATTTTATACTCTAATTTATAAAGTACTACTTTTTAAAAAGGTCATACAACATAAAATATTTTTCACCAATTTGTTATCAGAACTATTAAATGGAGTAAGATTAAAAGTAAGAAGCTCATTACAAGCATGATTGTAAACCTCCTCATGGTATGTCAAGATAAGAGTAGCAGGAGCCTATTTTTTTGCACGAAACAAAACAAGCTTATTATTATCATCATTGTAACACTTCAATTTGTATTTCTCTCATTCAGGCTTGGCTGAGGCATCCTGACGTACCGGCAGCTCGAGAGAATCGTGACTATGTTGTCAAACAGCTTGAGGATGCTATGAATGCTATCTCTAATGTTTCCCAAGCAACGGGAGATTCCAGCGCCAATCCTAACATTGAAGGATCGGGAGAACTTATCGCAGCACTCGATGAGTTAGATGTAAGTCAGACTATATAAGTATTCATCTTAGAGACGAAAGAATAAAACTTTAGTTACCATTAATAGCAATTTGATTATTTTCATATGAACCACACAGAATTTTGCAATGAAGGCCTACTCAAAACAGCAATGCTCTTCTCAAAATGACAAATCTTAAAACCCTTTTAGCATGTCCTTTGCTTACATGTGATTGTTTGTCTGAATTGCCGCACAGATGAATTGCTAAACAACATGAAGAGCCTGTAACAAGCAATGTAAACCATGATGGTTTTTCCATCTCATTAAAACAAATTGCTAACATTTTCCTTAGAAATGAACCCGACCCCCCCCCCCACTCCGGGGTCGGAATGACCGCATGCGTGTTACCAAAATGTCTGGTAAAGGGGTACTTTTCACGCACCAAAGTCCGGCTCGTACATACACAAAAATGACTTTACTGCTTGACTTAGGGGGTGTTTTCAGAAGGAGGGAACCTCATATGCGTACCCTAAATAACACTGAGTGGGAGACCGGGTAAATGAAATCCCTGTTGACTAATCTCCTGCATGTTTAGGATGTTATTTGTAGGTCTTGGACATTGTTTAGACTCCATGGATGATCATTACATGCACAATGTCCCTCTCATGAATGGTGGGTTTGAAACTTGGAACATAGTTTTCCTGCACATCCTCATCAGCTATATATGAAAGATGCCATAGTGTACATGTTTGCTCGACCCTCACTGTCACAGCTGATTTCTCAACGCTTACTACTAACATCAATGTCTTGTTAATCCTTATTATTCACAGAAAAAGATCAAGATGAGTCCCCTGGAGTACAATGAGGTGCGTACACGCCCCTCTCTAGAGGAACGTCTTGAGAGTATCATCAGTGGTGCGGCGCTCATGGCTGATTCATCATGCACCAGGGATGATAGGAGAGAGAGGATTGTAGCTGAGTGTAACAATGTCAGACAGGCTCTGCAGGATCTACTCTCAGAATACATGAATTGTGTATGTATTCGTATTGTTTTCTTTTACTAGTTTCTTCCAAGTGTGCACAGGAAATGCCCATGTTAATGCACTGTATTTATAAAAGTAACAGATTTAAAGCAGAAAAGAAGATATGGAAGTCATAGATGATAAGTCTTGCAAATGGTAATGATGGCTTTACTCTGTTTAATCAATCTGAATTTTTTTAAAAGTATTAATCAGTTTCAATGTAGGATTTTTATAGGTCACTCTAAGCTATCCCAACTATGTAATGTTCATGACTTACATGTATCTATTAAACTGACTCAGTAACATTGTCTCAGACTCTGAATTTAGCTCATGCTGCAATGACAATCATATACATGTACCTAGGTCAGTCAGGAACCCCATGACTTTAACAAGCCAATCGCCTGTCTGATTATCAAGATATCTATGATTGGAATTCAAAATTTCAGAATTTGTTTTCCTAAGGGTTTTTATAACACTACAGTCTATTGGGACAAATGATTGTGGTAAAACCCGGTCACTCAAAGATTTTTACTTTTTTGAAGCGCAATTTGTTTAGGGCTTGAATATTACACCATATCACAGACACTGATAACACGTAGGACCATGAATCTCAGAATCAACATTGTTAAACAATGCCTTTAATGGAACTTACTTTGTTTTCTCCCCTTGTAGGCTGGAAGCAGAGACCGTAGTGATCCGTTGGATGAAGCTATCGAGAGAATGTGCAAGAAAACCAAAGATCTACGCAGACAGGTACATAGATCTCCATTGATCTCCATATCATGTCATGCATGTATAGTATATGATGGGTGTAGAAAATTGTTTGAGATAAAAAATTACGAATGAGTTTTAGGTCATACCAATATCAAAGAGCAACTATTTGGCTGGTGAGAAGTCGTCTATATCATCTATAAATAGCTTTATTGGATTCAATATAGCAGGGATGCCAATTTTCAGGAAATAGCCTGAATTTAGGCCAAAAAAAAGCTCATCCTAGGTGATTCTCAGGCCCTCTGATCAATTCTAACTGGCATCCCTGATATAGTTCCTTTTGACTATGCTCAGCTGTAATGTTAGTGTGCATCTTAACTGCACAGGGCCAGCTGATCACATATGCACCATGCGCAATACCAGGAACTACAAGCATTGTCTATCTCTATCTTGTGCGTGGTGAATATATAACCAGCTGGCCCTGCACAGGTAAGGTGTGCATGACCATAACTGCAGAACGTCCTTCAACAGACTTTTAAGTTAGTAAATGAATCTGTGCATTAAAACTCTCTTTTTTTTTTCTTTTGATAGCTCCGTAAAGCGGTGGTTGATCATGTGTCTGATTCCTTCTTGGAGACCAACATCCCTCTCCTTGTCCTGATCGTAGCTGCTAAGAGCGGCAACGAAGCAGAGGTTGAGAAGTATGCCAAGGTCTTCCAGGAACATGCTAACAAACTGGTAGAGGTTAGTAACCATCTAATAGTATATCATTGAAAAGTTAATTTTGATTTAATGAAACCCGGTAGTTGAAAATAGAGTGGTGCTATGCTTCACTAGTTTATATATTAATTTTCAATCAAGTTAAAGAGCGGTTGAATCTATGTCCAGTAATGATGTCCTAAGATGGGCATTGTTTCTAGAGTAGATTCGTTTTGACTAAAGTGTAGCAATTGGATACCTGGTAGGAAGAAATGCTTTAAAGAAGTATTGGAAGTCTAGCTATGAAAGCAGGATCTCTGCATTCAGGGTATGAGCAGTGTACTTGCAGTATGGAATAAATTGTTGAATCACATTTACAGAATTACTGACACATTCTATTCAGTTTTGTATCTAGATGTGAATCAAACCTTAATTATTGTTCATGTCAATGGTACCCTTTTACGTAAGCCTCTGCCAGACAGATGGTTTCCAGTCCAAGTATCATACTGGGACCTTTTGTTTTGGGAGACTGATGCTATTCACTGACTCTAGGTAATCCTTCCTTCCATAGGTTGCCAATTTGGCCTGTTCCATGTCCAACAACGAGGAGGGAGTGAAGATGGTTCGCATGGCAGCATCACAGATTGAGAACCTATGCCCTCAGGTAAGCTCTATTCCATTCCATTCAAGCTCAACTGTAAAACAGATCTAGGAATCCTAAATGTATTAAAGGGAGTGTATCATGGCAAATACTGGTTAACGCCATCTACGTCTTCTTTTGGACAACTGCACGTAAACGAATGGACTTGATTCACTGGGTCAGCGAGCGCTTGCTCGAAACAGACCGAAGTTCTCCTTATGCTTCGGTTTCGCGTATGTTGCACGCATGTGATTGCTGCGGTTGCGTCGTCCTTTTAACTGGACAATGCTTCATGTCCATGTAGTTGACCTTTGACCTTTGACCCGTAATGGATGATCAATAAATCCTGTATGCTACCTGCTAGACCATGATATGAAGCTGTGAGTTATCCTGGATGTATTAGGATGCATCGTCATATTTAACATGTATGCGGATGCTTTACATATATCATCTTTTTACCTATCCTTTATGCCATGATAAGTTAGGCCATAACGCAGCTCTTATTTAACAGCCAGACCTTGTAGTAAGGCTGCTCAGAATGATATGGATGTATTCAAAGAACATCATACATCACTATATATTTGCATGACACATATTTGACCTTTGACCTTTGATCTTTGACCCTGGTAGGTGATCAATGCAGCTCGTATCTTAGCAGCCAGACCTCGTAGCAAGGCTGCTCAGAATAATATGGCTGTATTCAAAGAACATCATGCATCACTATGTATTTGCATGACACATATTTGAACTTTTGTCTTTGACCTTTGACCCCCGATAGGTGATCAATGCAGCTCGTATCTTAGCTGCCAGACCTCGTAGCAAGGCTGCCCAGGATAACATGGATGTATTCAAAGATCAATGGGAGACACAGGTTCGTCTGCTAACAGAGGCAGTGGATGAGATCACTACCATTGATGACTTCTTGGCTGTTTCAGGTAACACAGTAAATCTGCTGTTTTTCATGAGACAAGCTCAATCCTTACATTTTACATATTCACCTAATATGCATTTTGTTTCTTTATAGCAACAATCCTAAAATTTAATTAGTATATATTATGTCTTTAATTTATTGTCAGATTTCAGTGTGTAACAATCAGTAACAGTGCTTTTTAAATTGCTTTTCAAAATAAACCATTACCCATCAAAGAAGAAGGTGAAAATCTGAAAAATGCCTCAACATATCTTTTCAAATTGAAAAATAAAATTCCCTTAAAAATTCCCACTTAAATTAAATATTGTGCTTTCAGAGAGCCATATTTTGGAGGACGTGAATCGTTGCGTGATGGCGCTACACCAGGAGGATCCTGAGACCTTAGACCTGACTGCTAACTCCGTCAAAGGCCGATCAGCTCGTATCTGCACTGTAGTCAACTCTGAGATGTTAAACTATGAATCAGGACTCTACACAGACAAGGTCAAGGAAGCTGTCGCTATTCTCAAGAATGAAGGTTAGTCATTATACAAATGATGCACAGGTTTGAGTGCGTCGGTAGAAATTGTGGGTACTTTTGAATGGTTTTAGACCAAATTCAAAAGTACCGCGTGCACACAATTCCATGGACCCACAAATTAAACCTGTGCATCATCTGTTTTATGAAATGGGGCAAAAAAAATTGTCAAAAATACAAAAATCTGTAATTTTACAAATTTACCAGTGTATGGCAAAAGCATGCTCTCCGGTAAATCAGTGGTATCGATTCCCAATATCGCATGCATCCAGTAAAATTATCTACACGGTAATTGACCAATTAGATTGCAGGGATACTTCTACTGATTTTATAAACTAGGGTGATACAATATTTGTTCTGCCAACATTTGCTTAAGCCTTTAATTTGTCAAGATTTAATTCATCCAGATCTTTGGCATTTGATTCATGATTGCATCTAGAGTCTGAAGTATAGTGATGAGTTTATGAACTTCTAAACTTGTACCAACATATAGGGAGATGAACCCAAAAAATCTAGGAATAATAACATAAATGTCCAGAGGTCACGAAGGTCAATCAGTGATAATAAGTTTTTTAGTCTTAATCTTAATCTTAATCACAATATTATAAAAACATATTAAACAACGTAAATCAACTTCTAGTAGTATGCAACATCATAAAGAGTTAAGGTAAACAAAGTTTGGTCAATTTGATTATCAAAATTAATGGTGGTGACAATTTTACCAAATATAGTAGAAAAGGTAATAATCAATTAACTGAATGTTGGCAGAAGCATGTACCAATCGCATATGTTTTTCTTGTTGCTGTTATCTTTTCAATTAGCTTTCATTGGCATTGAATTAATCTTTGATGGTTTTATTTTTCTTTCAGTTATCCCCCATTTCTCTAACATGGTTGAGATAGCTGTAGTAGCTCTGAGCTCTCAGCCTCCTAAGGACACCGAGGAGAATGAGTTTGTGGATGCATCTCGCATGGTGTATGACGGTGTGAGAGAAATCAGGAGAGCAGTACTTATGAATAGGGTAAGAATCCTTTTTCCTTCTATTTCAATTTTTTTTAAAATGTCTTTAGCACTTAACCTGTACAATACTGCCTTTTCACTTTCACCTGTTGAAGCATCAAAGAGTGCAGTGTAGGCAGGGGCGCCCCTGAGTGTAGGTCTTATCTCACGTCCAGTTTCTATATAACACACACTTCTGCAAGGATTTTCCAAATAAATGTGTTTGAAGAGGAATATTGATGAAAGAATGCAAAATTTAGGTTTAGCGTTGTATGCAAATTATGTATTCCTTCATCAATATTTGTTTTCAAACACATTAATTTGGAAAATCCTTGCATAAGTGTGTTTTAAATGACATCCTCTGTCACATCTTTATACAATTTAAGGAAAAACTTTGCCATGAAATTTTTGTCTCCCAATACTTCAGAGGGGCTTTAACCTATAATGTGTATTCTTTAAAAAAATATGTGTATCCGTCTGAAATGTTCTCATTTGCTCTTTTCTTTTTCCTACTTGCTAGAATCCAGATGAGATTGAGACCGACACTGAAGTGGACTACGAAGAGGAATATGATGTCAAGAGCAAATGTAAGTAAACATGTGACCTATGATCAGCGCAAAGGAGGCAAGGCGATGGCTCAGTGGTAGAGCACTGGTCTAACAACCGGGTCGGGTTCAAAACCAAGTCAATGCGCTCATGCCCTTTGGTAAGGATTTGATCCTCATTAGCGAGTCCGTCTGAGAGGACTTAAAAGTCTTCGGTCCCGTGGTTGCTTTCTTACAATCATATACATGCTTTCTTAGCAGTCAGGTAAAGCAATCCTCAAACATGCTGTAACAAACAGCGAGGAACTATCTATGATACTCAAGAAACTGTCCCATGGCTATTAAATGTATAACTTAGGAATGTTTAATTTAAAAATTGCCTGTTTGTAAGAAAGAAATAATACTTGATTACTTGTTTGAATTTCAAGATTTCAATGCCTATTTTTAATTTTTAATTTTCTATTTTCAAATTCTCTACTGTACTAAAGACAGATGAGAACCGTGTGATCATTTTGTACTCATTCTGCATATTTGTAGCATTCTTAGTTCAAATAGTAATTCAACAAACATTAATTAGGTGGGATTATGTGTTGTTAATCCTTACCTCTGTTTCTCCCATCTACTAGCGAGCTACCAGACCGAGCCTTATGAGGAGGAAGATGTCAAGGAAGGTCTTACATCAAGGGTAAGTACAATCACATCTAAAGAATTCTCATGCATTATAAAATTATGCATTATATAAAAATTAAATATTATTATTATTATTATTAGTCAATAAGCTTTCAATAAAATATAACCAAGTAAGACAGGACTGAGCCTATGGTTGATGCTGTAGAATTTTTTATTTTCAAAAACAGTTTAATCAAGTTGTGGGGGTGCTTAGATTATCATTGTTATAAGAGATATGCAAGAGGCAATAAAGGCTTAGGCATATTAGGCAAACACAGTTGATGTGCTGGCTCTACATGACCAAAGACTGTGACTGTGATAATGATAACTATAATTGTGAAATGAACCTGTGACTATTACAATATTTGAAGGATCCTACCTCACCTATTTTACCGTCATGAACTTGATTTGGTTCTGTCAAACATGATGGACACTGCCTATATTACAAATGTTCAACCGACATGGCATCAAAGGGGTAAAATGATAATCTCACAGGTTTTATCTAAATGGATCTGTCTGGAGAATATGACCATGTACGCAATGTCAAGGATCCTAAATTAGATATAAGGCACTATAGAAGTGTTCAATATTATGATTGTATTATAATTGTATTATTGTGCCATCGAACTGGATCGACCAAATCAATTGATCCATAATATATATATATATATATAATATTTTTTCCTGTAACATGAAAGTGATGTTAATCGTTTCATTCTTTTAATTAAATGTAATGTTAATTGTTATTGTATAATTGTGTTAAATGGGGGCACGCTACAAGAAACCTATCTCGCATCCCGGGGCAACGTATCTGACACGGCCGGTTGTAGCAACTACTCCGAAGATCAAGTTACATTAATCTTGATCTAAGGAGACATGAAAGAATGATTATATTATTATTGCTTATGCTCTGTGTGTGTTTGTGTGCAGGCAATGATGAGAGATCTACCTCCTGAGGAGAAGGAGAAGATCAAGGAAGAAGTGGAGCTGTTCCGTCAAGAGAAGGCGAAACTAGATCTGGAGATGGCTAAATGGGATGATAGTGGGAACGATATCATCATCTTAGCTAGACAGATGTGTATCATCATGATGGAGATGACAGACTTTACCCGGTAACTACATTCTCTCTCTCTCTCTCTCTCTCTCTCTCTCTCTCTCTCTTTCTCTCTCTCTCTCTCTCTGTCTCTCTCTCTCTCTCAGTTACTTATTTGCTAGTTATTTCTTGTTAATCACAACAAGTATTTGTTTTTGTAGGTAAAGTATGGCAGGGTTACATCATGTATAATATACAGTAGGCTTCCGGTTGCACCATGTGAGGAGAGGGGGGGAGGATTTCAGGACTTTACACACACACTTAAGAAAGAAAGATTACCGACAGTCCTTTTCAGGACTCCCCAATCCTGCCCCCTCTCTCACATGGTGCAACCGTAAGCCTACTGTATATGTACATCACCATGCAAGCCGATACTTATAAGCAGCATCATGTATAATGTAATTTCTCTGGAAGCAAATCACTGCTATAAATTCTTTTCTAAGTTAATCATATTGTATTTCACAGTGTTGATTGAGTGCACTTGTCAGAGTGACAAACTTGAATGAATATAATTTAATTTGGTTTATCACATTACAAGTGATCACGGTCAGGAGCTCAATTAAAATGGCTAAAATCACAACTCCAATTTCAACCAATCAGATGACTAGATTTATTCAAAATACTAAAGAGAGGTATATAAAACAAAATAGTGCCTGGAGCAAATGTCTCATGAGCAAATATTCAAATTCAAAGTTTATTCAATACTCTTCATAAAAACATGTAAAAGATATGTTACAAATTACAATGGCAATTCATTAGAGCATTTGGGATAGGCAGAAAGAAATAAGGGATTCCTTATATGAAAGCCTACCCCTAAACATGCACACTTACAGGAAAAAACAAAACAAAACAACAACATACTATCATGTACAATCAAAGTAAAAAAAACACTAGCAAGAGAGTGTAACAAATTTACTTTACAAAAGTGTCAAATTCTACTGATTACTATACTTATTTAACAGAAATTGTTTGTATTTTCTAATTTCCAAAGGTATACTAATTATTCCATATTACTGGTCCATTAGTGAATTTTCAAACATGTCATTGTTATTAGGGCAGTGATGGAATATCTCATCTCTTCTCATCTGTCCCGTAGTCTGGTTGACCGTTGGGGCACCACTGTAGATTTTACAACCAGCTTCCTCCATTCCTCGCGGTTCTCAGCTTTCCTCCATATGATGTTCCAGTCGAGGCCAGTCCATTCTTTGATGTTGTCTTCCCGTCGTTACTTCTGTCTGCCTCTTCGTCTTCCTCCCTGTACTGTTCCCTGTAGGATAGGCTTGGCCAGTCCAGATGATCGTGTGACGTGCCCGTACCACTTCAGTTTACGTCTTTTTACTGAGATCAGGAGGTCTTCAAACGGCCTGATGGCGTTTTCGATTCTGTTTTTCACTACCTCGTTCGTTATGTGATCTCTATACGAGATACCGAGGAGTTTGCGGAAACATCTCATCTTGAGTGCCTGTATCCTTCTTCCAATGTCTGCTGTTATGGTCCACGTTTCACATGCATACAGAAATATGGACATGACCAGGGAGCGCATCAATCTGATCTTGGAGCTGATGGCGATGTTTTTGTCTGTCCAAATGACTTTTAGTTTGGTCACTGCAGCTGTGGTCTGGGCTATCCTGGAGAGTACTTCAAGTTTGGATCCCTCATCCGATACTATAGTTCCCAGATATTTGAAGCTACGGACTGTCTCCAGTTTCTTGTTATTTACGGTAATGACGGTGCTGATGCCATTGGTGTTATTTGTCATCAACCGGGTCTTTTCTGCACTGATCTGCATGCCATATGACCTGGAGGCCTTTTCAAGGTGCTTTACCAAGTTGACTAGCTCTCGCTCTTGTCCAGCTAGGCCGTCAATGTCGTCAGCAAAACGCAAGTTTGTAATTGTCCTGCCTCCGATGCTGACTGTTCCTTCATGGTCTTTTAGTGCGTCATCCATTATTCTCTCTAAAAAGATGTTGAAGAGAGTGGGGGAGAGTAGACATCCTTGACGGACTCCGATTGTGGTTCGGAACCATTCTCCTATATTGTTGTCAAGGTAGACTGCGCTGGTTGCCTTGTCGTAGAGGCATTCGATGGTTCTGATCAGGTTGGCGTTGATGTTATACAGCCTCATGGTTGCCCACAAAGCTGTATGCCAAACTCTGTCAAACGCCTTCTTGAAGTCCACGAAGACGTGGTAGAGGTTTTGCTGGTGTTGCAGGTACTTCTCACAGAGTATTCTAAGATTTAGAATTTGCTCAGTTGTGCTCCTTCCTGCTCTGAAACCTGCCTGTTCTTCTCCGATGATCTCCTCAGCTTGTGGCTTCAGTCTATTGATGGAATAACTGTGATGATATCTGTGTTTTATTTTTAGTGGTAAGGGTAAGCTGAAGTCCACTATGGATGTGATAAACGCTGCTAAGAGAATCGCTGACACTGGTACCAAACTCGACAAACTAGCCAGACAGATCGCTGATCAGGTATGAAGTCCTTATCTATCATATGTCTCTGAATTCTGATATATAAACTCTTCAGTGATTGAAATTGATTCAAATTTGCATTAAGAAGTAGACCGTATGTGTTCACTTTAAGAAATCGCATATTGTATTTGACACTGTCTCATATGAGAATGTATTTGAGTAATTAAGCTGGAAGCCTCCAAAGATATATATATTGATTTGCAGTAACCAGTGCTTTACAATGACAATGTATTTATTTAATCATTTTAAATAAACAGGGTAACTTTATCATTATTAAAACTGTTATCCTGAGAGGCCCTGTACAAGTTATAGGTTACAAATACAGAGGAAATCGACCAAAGTTTAAATATGTACATGCCATATCATGGATTATTTGTTCTGGTTTATTATACATAATGATATAAAATATTTTAAAATGTAGATATTGGACCAGCTGATATAATATAAGACACGCCCTTTCAAATGGATAAGCAAGACATTAAATCGGAAAAGCAGAGTACTTGTTTGGTTATGATTAACAATCATCAGTAGTCCTGCTGACATCTATAAAGTAAGATCATGCTCAGATGATGAGTCTAGATAGACTAATACATTGATTTTCCATCTTAATTTTATTCTTGACGTTGATTATCAACAGTGCCCAGACTCTTCGTCTAAAGAGGATCTGCTCGCATACCTTCAGCGTATCGCCCTCTATTGTCATCAGTTGAACATCACCAGTAAAGTCAAAGCTGAGATTCAGAACATCAGTGGAGAGTTGGTCCTGTCTGGGGTGAGTACAACATAACTAGTTTGTTTTATATTTCCAAAAGATGAGGAAGATTGCACTGTGTTTTCTTAATTGTGTGACCCTTGTTTATTCTTTGATTATGTATTCTGGGAAACGTCATAGTGTATTCTGTAGTAGAAAGTTCTACTTCATACAAAGAAGTCCTCACAACATCAAGAATAGCCTGTAAATACAAAGACTTTAGGAACAAAAGAGACTTCACACTCAAACCATAACATAAGGGACTGTCTCTATTCAGCAGAAATGCACATTGTAATGAGGCAACTTTCTTGTAGAAAAGTGGGATAAAGGGAAAGTCAGAGAAGTGAAAAGTAGGGTCTGCTTGTATTACATTGTGATGGCTATTCAAAACATTTTACATTGTCAAAATAGAGGCCTTCAAAAGTTCTCTTTCTCACTGGAGGCAGTTCTTATTGTATGTTGTGATATTAACCAGTTCTTTAATTATATTTATGTTCCTACTTATAAATTGTATTGTTTGGAAGAAAATAAATGTTCATTTGAATTGAATTGAATTGAATATCATCTACTAAGTTCAGATCTAATCAGTAATATTGTTTTGTTTGTATGATAGTTGGACAGTGCTACTTCTCTCATCCAAGCTGCTAAGAACTTGATGGGTTCTGTTGTGCAGACCGTTAAGGCTTCCTATGTAGCATCAACCAAGTTCAGGTCTAAGATGAAGGCAGGTGGAACAACTGCTGTAAGTACTCTCTCATTGTCCAGATGTCTCCTCTTTAAATGTTTAATCCTGATACTGTAAATGGGGGACACTGGAATGAATAAGGCAAAATTCTGATGAACTGTTATTGCCTAATTTTTATCCCAATAATGATGCTGATCAAATTTATACCATTAAACAAAATAATGCTTATAAAAATTAAAAAGGAAAAATTCATATGAAAACACTCTTCTAAGTTTTGTCCCTGTTTTGGTAATCAAAAGAAAAGATATCCCATTCAGTTCTCTGTATTCAGTATACTTCTGTTTTGTTTGCTCTGGGGCATTGTGCATAGAAAGATGCTAATAAACCAAATTCCAATCTTTTGAATTATGTGTGTGATTCTAATAGATGTAGATGGTTCAGATTCTAGAAAGATGCATTAACACATGTGATACATGTGATAAAATACCAATGAGTTTCACTGGTTGTTGCAAGGTATTCACTTTCCAATTTCATGGTTTAATGATGACAGAATGTTTCTGCTCTGTAGCTTATTTTCTAACATAGATCAAGGTATTACATAATTATAACAATCTCCTATAGTTGCCTACACAATAAACCTCCAGAGATCTAATAGACTATTGTATGTTCCCTCCACACAGTCTCCTGCAGTAGTCTCCTGCAGGTGTGTACATGATAAATCCCCAGAAATCTAATAGACTATTGTATGTTCCCTTCACACAGTCTCCTGTAGTAGTCTCATGTAGGTGTGTACACAATAAATTCCCAGAGATCTAATAGACTATTGTATGTTCCCTTCATACAGTCTCCTGTAGTCCTGTGGAAGATGAAAGCACCAGAGAAGAAGCCTCTCGTCAGACGTGAGATCCCGGATGAGGTTCATTCTAAGATCAGGAAAGCTGCTAAGAAACGTGAAGTTAATCCTGTACAGGCTCTAAGTGAATTCAAGGAGAAAGGCCCATTCTAAGTTACTAACACTAAAACAAATCTAATCATAATTAGATCTCTCTCTCTCTACAATGCTACCAAAGGAAAACTTTTCAGATGGCCTTGCTAGATAGCTGATATTTTCACATAGACTGGTATTCTGCTAATTCAGTGAAACGTGACACAACTCTTTTTCTTAAAAGATATCAGTAAATGAGGCTACTTTTGGCAGGTGACCTTTTGTTAAAATATCCCCAAACGCCACTTTTATTTTGATGTGAATAAATCTAGGACTGCTACAGTATCTTCAAATGATGTAAGATCAAAGCAAAAGGTAATGCTGATTACTTACAGACCAGTTACACTGTATTTTAAAGAATCTTTTCAATAGTTGTTCTGAATCGTTGATTAGTAAGTAAATGAGAACCTGTTTTTTAACCTGCAAAATTATACATTGTAGGAAGATGTCAAACTCTGATGAATATTATTATTTAAGAAGAAAAAGAAAACACAGATATGTAGCTATGGGACTAGTAAATGTACTTATTGTCCAAAAGAGCTCAGCCAAGAGCGATCCTTCAGTTGTTATAACATGTATTCATTATAACTATTACCAGTACTCACTATCACTTTTAAACTGTACCTAAGCATACAAGAGTACTAAGCATTGATGTAATGCAAAGAAATCCAAACCAAAGCTACTTGCTAAACAAATATTCATGTTTTTAAATAGTCAGTTGAAGATCAAATGAAAGTGCTTGTTGAATAAAAAAGCTGACATAACCCTATGAAGGATTAGAGAAATGTAGTTTGTCTTTTCCATCAGCCTAATTTAACATATACACTGTAAGTTGTTATGGAGGTGATGTATATGTAACTAGGTTAATACAAACAGTCGTTTCTTAGCAGGTAAGCTTTCTATTATAGTAAGATAATGATATAATTGTACAGCAGTAAATGTATGTAATAATACTAAAATTCATTCTTAAGAATCATATTGCACTCATGAACATTCATGCATTTTGCAGTGCTGTAAATGTTATGTTTTATTCTCTAATTCAATCAAGATATTGTTATTTATTTTAGTTAAATGTTTATTTAAAGTGTGTGTAGTCATTAAGATAAAGTGATTGAAGCCTATTCATGTATTCAATATAAAATTTAATTCTCTTCATGCATGTATTCATAAATGTTAAGAATGCTGTTGGAAAAAAAGCTTTTAAACAAATTTAGGCTTTTGCTACCTTTTAATTTGACCAACGATGTCAGTTTGTATGATATACTCAGTACTAGAGTAAGCTATGGTCCAATATTATACAGCTTCATAGAAATGCTTGCTTTTTAGTACTAAATCTGTAATTAGTACTTTTGTAATTACCAAAAAATTATGTTGTTAAAAGTATCTTACAAATGGTTAGTCACTAGAAGGTCACAGTGAAGAAGTTTAAACTTTTTAAAATTTCCATTAGCTTAAATTATGCTTGTATCTAAAAGTGAAGGTAAATAGGCATTAGCATTGCTTGCATGCTGTCGATAATAATAATGGTCATTCATACTGCGCTATACACAAAGAAGTTCCATTGCACTTACAATGTAAATACCATAAGAAACAGACTACAACAAAACTTATTGTTCGAATTGAGGCATGGTGTATTGTTCTTAATTGTTCTAAAACATACACTGTGGGCCGCTAGATTATTTGCAAATGAAATCAATGTTATTTATATATACTTCTAGTTCTACTCAAACAATGTCTCAATATATTACAGTCTACACAATAACGGAATGGAATGCCTACATAATATTTAGTGATCAAATATATTTGTAACAAATTTCACTCTAGCAATGTGAAAGGTTGTGTTTTTATTTCTTTATCAGTTTAGATTATGTATATAAGACATAGAATGGAGGGTGCTAGTGATGGAGTTGGATTTGGTAATTATAAATCAGTCAGTGTGAAATGAAAAATCAATTTGTATTTGTGTTATTTGGCGTTATGATACGTCTAGATTGTGCCTTCAAGGATACTGCTTCCTAATGGATAAGCATTTTAGCCAGAGTATCGAAATGTATCTTTAAGCCTCTTTTCAGTCAATTTTTTAAATGTTGATTGCAGTTCTGATGCAGTAAGCTTTTTCTTCCCTTGCAGATTCTCGTAATAGAAAGATTATCCCTTCATAGATATTTAATTGCACATACATTTGGTATCAGTTTATTCATGTTAGAATCACACATGTTGCTTAAAATGATAGTCTTGCCATGAAAATGTGATGAAAGTGAACTTCTGATTAGAAAGAAAACATGAAGCTTGGTTTTCTGATAGTGTTTTTATACGAGCTCATATGTTTGGTATTGTCGCAGTTAATTATAGTATTTTTTTCTGCATAGGAAGAAATACTGCAGCAGACTTTGATCTTTTCCACCTCACGTACTTAGCAATGTTTGCTTGGTTGTGACTTGTGAGAAGGTCAAAGTGTTGTAAGATATAACTGACTGATTGCAGCATAGATCAAGTTTAACATTCATTAATAGTAATGTCCTGTATTATTATCACGTTTTAAATAGCTTTTTAATCATTCTTTGCTTTGTGTGTATGTTTTGCATTCCTTCACAAGTTCACACCGAGAGGCTTCGCGCTTTAATCAGTGATTTTGATTTTTTTTTTTTTTTTTTTAAAGATTGAGTTTGTTGTACATAGACAGAAGTCCTTATCTAATATTGCATAGTTCTTCCACTACCATCAGTAGGGTGTCCCTGATAACAAGTTTGATGTGACCACTCTGTTTTATCAAAACACTGAATACCTAATTCACGGATAATATGTTCTGAAATAGTGATAGTTGTAGCATTGAGATTTTAATGTATAGTATGCTGATATTTGTTACTTATTCTGATATTTATTTAAGAATTGGTGAGGGTTCGGTCTTATGATATACAACCTAAAGATTTTGTGATTTACCATGAGTTAATTGATTTGTATTCAGTTGTTATGTATTCCTTATTTCATACTCTTTACTTTCTATCTTAAACATCAAGCTTTTTCAATGCTTCTGCTAACAAAATGAATGAAAAAATAAATGTTTCAAATTGCATAATTTCATATTCGACACATATGTCTCTTTTTATTTTGTTGTATTATTTTTATGATGACTTTTATTTATGAGAGAATATCAAAGCTTTTGCATCATCAACACCATATATTATAATACAGACGCTGAAACTTATCTTGTAAATGATTTAAATTTATGTAAATGACAAGAATAAGCATTGGAGATCTACGAAATATGGTTTCTGCCACACACACACCAAGCACACACACAAATAGTGTTATGAATAGACCAGTTTGTAATAGGCCATTTTCGTAATGTAATCAAATTTAATTGTTGCTTGTCTTGCCTAACAACACTTAATGCAAAGTTTTTGGAAATTTTGAAAATTGGATGGATAATAATTCTTTAAAATTTTAATATATTTGGATGCCCCTGGGGATGTATTATAAGCACTAGAAAATCAACCCCCTAAAACACTTCTGCTTTCGAGGAATTGAATAATAAAAAAATTGCCGGTGCTTGCGGTAAATTTCAAATATTTCAAATAGCGCCTAGAGCCGTTCCATGGTAGCAGCGACCATGAAAATCTCAGAATATGTAGTTTGGATATATAATTTCGGGATGGGCAAATCGGTCGATTGTAGTCAAGAAACGTCGTTTTAATGCTAATGTAATATCAGTCTTGAGAGGGAGCTATACAACATAAAGAGTTTATTATTTGCAATTTTCACCACGCCAACGATCATTGAATATTGTGAAATCACATATGCTTCCAATACGTTCTTTTGAACCAAATTCATGACCCGATACCAAAACTTTGTATTACCTTTAATGTTTGCCATGTATTGAAAATCAATTATTCGTAACAGTTCAATGTGATAATTTGTAACGAGGCACTTATCGAAGATTTGTGCTTTCAATTTGGTCACTATAATATGTGCGGCACCAAAACGAGATAGAGAGAAAGGGGTGGAGATAGAGAGAGAGAGAGAGAGAGGGAGAGTGAGGGTGAGTGGAAGAAAACGAGGAAAGAGAGATAAAAAGGGTGGAGATAGAGGGATAAAGAGAGGGAGAGTGAGGGTGAGTGGAGATAGAGGGATAAAGAGAGGGAGAGTGAGGGTGAGTGGAAGAAAACGAGGAAAGAGAGATAAAAGGGGTGGAGATAGAGAGAGAGAGAGAGGGAGAGCAGGGGCGGATCTAGCTTTTTGCTAAGGGGGGGGTTGACCAAAATAATGACGATGCGAAGCATCGTCCACGAGCCGCGAAGCGGCGAGCCGATTTTTTTGGGGTGTTTATTTGAACCCCGTAAGTGATGTTTTCCTGGCATCTATTAACACAATGGAGACCATAAAAAGCAGTGCATGATAACGTCTTTTTAAATCAAGTAACAGTTAAATACACAGTTATATCCAGAGTTATCATGTGTTTGGTTAAGTTACCAGATGAGTTGAATATCTTCTCACAATATTTGCACTTGAAAGGGTTTCTCTCCAGCGTGCGTTCTTTTTTCTTTTTTTTCTTCTTTTTTTTTCCTTTTTTTTTTTTTTTTTTTTTTTTGGGGGGGCCGCCCAAGGGGGGGGGGGTTTAAACCCCCTAACCCCCCCCCCCGTAGATCCGCGCCTGGAGAGTGAGGGTGAGTGGAAGAAAACGAGAAAAGAAAGATAAAAGGGGTGGAGATAGAGAGAGAGAGAGAGGGAGAGTGAGGGTGAGTGGAAGAAAACGAGGAAAGAGAGATAAAAGGGGTGGAGATAGAGGGATAAAGAGAGGGAGAGTGAGGGTGAGTGGAAGAAAACGAGGAAAGAAAGATAAAAGGGGTGGAGATAGAGGGATAAAGAGAGGGAGAGTGAGGGTGAGTGGAAGAAAACGAGGAAAGAGAGATAAAAGGGGTGGAGATAGTGGGATAAAGAGAGGGAGAGTAAGGGTGAGTGGAAGAAAACGAGGAAAGAGAGATAAAAGAGGAGAAGGAATGATAGTCGGTGCCAGCTTAATTAGCCCCCCCCCCCCCCCTCAAAAAAGTCACGAAGCCCTAATTTAGTGATTCTATTTTCGCGGCCAGCATAGTTCGCTGCACACCCCCCCCCCCCCCCTCGACTAATATAAGTTTGATAAGACCTTCTACCAACATTTCTGAGAATTTATTGCTTAGGTGTCAGTTTACTCCGCCTATAAAAAAAGATATATATACATATATTTAAAAAGCCCTCTTAGTTCACTATGCGTAAAATTTCAGAGAGTTTATTATTTAAAGGAAAATTCAACCTCAATATTAAATAGCACTAAAAGAACGCAGAAAAATCACAAAATCAGACTGGTGGAAGTTTGAATGAAATTGGACAGAAAATAAGACTAAAAATTATAAATATTTGAAAGTTGTAACCACTGTACGTATACTTCAAATTGGCTGAATCGGTAATATCACTGTGGTGTAGTGCCGGACTACTGCCCCATTTCAGCACAAAACGATTACAATATTTTTTTCTTTTTTTTCCCTTCTTTTTCCAAAATGTATGACTCAGGAGGGTCTTTTTTTCTATTCATAATGTGATTTGGGTACTGCCCACTCAAGGGACAAGGCACTTGGTGAAGCAACTGCAAATTTATGATATTTGTGTACACGACAAACGGAAGAGTAGCCCGTAAACGTCACGATCCACTGACCAAATTGAGAGTCGCATAGCTTAGTGATTTCATATTTCAATCATTCATAACTCTCTTGTTTCAAAATTTCGCCATTACGTTTCTTTTATTTTTCTGTTTTCATACAAATGAGCTTATTACAAGGTTAGGGTTGCTCTTTAAGTGTTTAGACTTTATTATTGGTACCCGACAGCGTTTGTCGCTGCGCCCGAATGATACATCTATTCACAAAGGCTATTTTCATTTTGGTTTTTAAATTGTTATAGCTCGTTCTTGCTCCTATTTCCATCAATGTATTTCAATCTGTATTTTAATATTTTGCAGATCAAATTACACTACAGACCAAGGTTGTCGTTCTCGTGTAGGCTTATTGGTGTTACAAACAAGAATAAAAAGGCCTTTGTTTGCCAGAGTGGAGGGTACAGACTTGAAATTCTATTCATTGTTGCTATGTCGGGAGTCATTTGTTTTGTAATTATTGTTTGTAAATATAGTGTACGGCCTATTGAAATAGAGTGAAATGGGCTAATTTCCCTATGTATGGTTGCTATGTCGGGGAAAGTGTTGTTATGTTGAAAAGGATAAATTCTATCATGTGAAAGGTACATGCATATTTTGATACGTAAACGTTTGATATGACATAATCTTGAATTATTTCAGCATTTATTATTCTGCATGCACTTATGAAAGCAATGAGGGTCAATAAATGAAATAGAAGTCAAGTGCCTCGATACAAATAGCTTCATTCATCTGTTACGAATAAATGTACATGTGTATTTCAATAATCACAATGCAAGCTGCATTTACGTATTGTTAGGAAGGGAAAGCTATAACATTTGTCCTACCTAGCAACAACGAGTGTGATCAATTTGAATTCTGAATATCGAACTATTGATACATTTATTCGTAACAGGTGAATGAAATCATTCGTTTCGAGACGCTTCACGCAAGCATAATAATTATACAAAAATGTGGAAAACGGCCTAATGCTCGGCGTCAATTCCCTATACTAACCCAACTATTATATTCAACCCTTGATCAAACACTTTACTGTGACCTAACCCTAACCATAAACCTAAATCTAACCTAAAACAAATGTTATTACAATCCAAACCAAACCCTTTGCCTTTGGTGAAATGTAGCCCGGAGCAATATTGTCGCCGGAGCAAATATCGGGTCAAGGCATCATGAATATAACGAACAAAGAAAGCGGACAAAATATACGGTTCCTCAGGTAGACAAAGAAACACCCCTTCACTGCTATTATGTAAAAAGGTGAATATGCATGTGACACCTGTTCTACACATTTTTACATAGTAGCAGTGAAGGGATGTTCCTTTGTCTACCTGAGGAACTGTATATTTTGTCCGCTTTCTTTGTCAGTCATATTCATAGTGAGGGGGAAAAGATTGACCCAAATTACTGGGATGCGTCTGAATTTACAGAATTGCAATGATTTAATCTATTCATTGATTCTTTGCCACGTCAAGATAAAAACAAAATTAAACAATATTCAAAATACAAACATATACAGATGTATAATGAGATATCTGGAGCGGTAGGATCATGAAAAGCACATAATGGCTTGTTAAAAACGATTCTCATAAAATATGCAAAATAACAATAACTTTGGTACATAATTTGCACAAAAATCAAGATAACAAAGAAAAAAGGAAAATAAAAAATATAAAGCAAAGAAGGAAGAAACACTGCATAAACGTTATTCGATTTTTTCAAAAAGAATTGCTTATAATAGTCGTTTAAATTGGTCGACAGTCTTACTATATAGAAAGGCTATCCCATAAATCTGAGCCGTAATAGAAGATGGAAGATTGAGTTATTTGAGATGCGACTAAACGGGGGGGGGGGGGGGGGGTGAATAATTTGGGCATTCCTGATCAATTGTGGTTCTAAAGGGTGACAGCTTTGATTTTGAACTATATTTTATTTAACAAAGAGAACAAAGAAAATAATACTAAGCTGGAAGAATTGTTGAATATACTTTAAATTTTAGCCCATTTTAGTTTCACTCAATCATTGAGTAATTAATGTAAATATGTATTAAAAATTTGAAAATGAAAACCTCGTTTGAGGATAAAAAAATAAAAAAAATAAAAATGTATTCTGAGTGGATTAGCAGTTATTTTAGATGATATTGCCTTTGCGGCGTCAAGAGCAATGCAGAGAAGGCCAAGCCGGCATCTTTTTGCAATCTTAAAAACGATTGAACAAAGGGTGATTATCGTTTTTTGGGAAAGCGTTGATTATCACCATTTTTTGAGGTGTCATTTCCCCACGTGCATTTCATGTATGTTATGAACTGGCATGTCCATGTCAACATCAAACAGAAATGTTTGTATAAAATATTTGGAAAGTAATTTGAATTCATCTCATGTTTATATTCCTGAAGAGGCCAATGATAATACGTAATTTCTTGTTATTTCTGTTAACTGTAATTTTTACATTTGTCCTTGATTATTCTTTTTAACTTTTGCGATATGATAATTTTGATTTACATTATCCTTTGGATTTATTCAATTAAAGTGAGTTTGAATTTGATTTTTAATTTGCCAATAACTCTATAATATGACGATCATGGGGTAACGTCCTGCTGGTTCTCAAGCAGACGTAAACAAGGGTTCAAACTATGGTAACAATTGATAATATTATTTATTCATCGGTTGTATATCTTGTGGTTCTGAACCTTTTTGACTACAAGATTACCACCATAAAATAAAGATCATTGTCGCCTAACCTTCAACGCCACCCCCCCCCCCAAAAAAAAAACAAGACAATAGATAAACGGCCCACTTATGCATGGAAACACGTCTGCCAACATTATTCAATGGGTAGCTGAAATCATTCACGCAACTCCCGACGTTATTGTAAAGTTATGGAATTAGGCCTATAAATAAAACTTGACTTGTTGATTATTCTATGACCACTCCTCCTAATCAATAAGAACATCTGTCAAAATAAGCCTAACGATGTTATAATAGCTGCTACATGCACATCATGTTTGCAGGTTCATAAACCTTGGTAATCCTATTTTGTTTGATATTGAGAATATACCACTTCAAACTGGATTAACCAGGGCAATGAGTAGCATTATCATGATCATGATGGTTACATGCATCCCAAATATTTTCCATCAGGAATACATTTTACTCGTATGTGCACTTGGCTATAAATTGGGACTGTTCCATGAACGTTTTTTTTAATGGTTCATAATAGATTATGATATGATTTTAAATACTGAAATAGTTATCGGGAATGTATGATCAAAAGCCAAGCTCCTCGTGTGTTGAGAGTCCCTGGTTATTTAATTAAAATTTTGTTTTAACGTTAAAGAACATTTTATTTGTATCGCTGAGCGTTTTGTTTTGTTTTGTTTTTCTTCTTTTTAAATTTACTTTCATCTGAAAATTTGTTTTGTTATTGAGCATCATGTTTTTGTGAATGTTAATGTTAGTATTTTTCACATTTGTCATTCATGATATGAGTCCACCCACTTCCCTCAAGCCATTGGCTTTATCGGGTGCTAATGATCCAGTGCAATTCTCAATTATATTGTATGTTATTTTTTATGAAATAATAAATTTATTTGAATCATTAAAAGAATGATTTCATTGTTAAATATATCAAACATCAAACCATAAAACAATTTGTCCTGAAATAATTTCAAAAGATGACAGATTACTTTCAATTCGTCGCCCATTAGATGGCAATCCGCCGTTGATATCATATTTGTGCTCTTAATTGGTTGCATTATACATCACATCAATACATTTCATCAGCACCACACCATACTCTCTAAAAAAAAGTCGAGTGATGACGGACGTCACTCCTCTGGAGAGTGAAAATGTAGTTAAAATAGACGGTGAACATTCACTCTTTTCTTCTTAGAGAGCACTCTAAAATCAATCGATTTTCACTCCTAAACAAGTGATCACGACGTCACTCCCAAGAAAGTTAAAAATAGAGTGAAAATTCACTCTTTTTTAAAGAGAGTACCACTACCACTACCACCACCACCACCACCACCACCACCACCACCACCACCACCACCATCATCATCACAACCACGCCACCATTATAACACCACAATAGCACCACTGATACAACAATAACGCTACGCACTGCCTCGCTGCTATCTTAATTACCATCATCACCACCACCATCATCACCATCTTCATCGCAATCACCTTCTTTTTTCCCAAAATAATTCTCATCGTCATTCTCAATTGTATTTGCCCAAATGATCACGTTCTTTGTATCCTATCTTGCATAACCCCCATTGTCTTCCCTTTTTGGCCACTACGTAATTACATATAGCCTCTTCAAGTCATTATCTACCCATGATAAAAACATTAGCAATCACAAGGCCTGATCAGAGCTCTTCTAAATATTTCAATACCTTTCAGACCTTTCAATACCATCCACCTCTTGTCACAGCAACTCATTAGCAGCGCAAAACTATCCCATCGTTCGAGTGTCCTTAAGATTACGCCTAGCCTGGATATCATTAACCTCCAATTCTCGCTCGCAACGCATCTTATTTTTCTTCCAGAGCTTTAATATTCAAACCCTATCAGTTCATCAGCATTATCTAAGTCCTCATACATCAGCTCCGACAGTGCGCATCCCGCATCACCACCGTATGGTATCTTTACCGCTGCCCCGCCTTTCTTCGCCAGTCTCCAAGGAAACTGCATCCATTCTTTACGATCATCTACCTGGCATGCATGTATACGCTGTAAAGCAAGTTGGGGCCGAAATACCAGCATAATATTCATCTCCTGCTGCGCGCCAAGGAAAACTCAGAGTAAATAATTTATGTTAGTTGTATGATAAAAAGAAAACACATTGGGCCTGTGAAACTGCCAATTACTCTAACTAAACCCGAAGTTGAAACTTCAAGCTTTGTGAATATTATTGCATGTCAGAGAGGAAGCGGGAGAATTGTTTTATTTTCGCACCAAATTTGAGTCATTATTTGGGTGACTATAGTGTCCGCTTACACACTGCTGTAAAAATTGGCAGCCTCCGACTTGTATCCTGGAAGCGGCCTCGCTTTAGTCCAGCCGGTAAGTTTATGATTCTTCGCTACACACATGATCGAACTACTTCCATTGAGTTAGTACACATTCAACCGTACACCCCAACATAACACACAAAGTCTCGGCACACCAGTCTTTCTTTTATTGGTGTACGGTTCTTCCACTTGTGACCCCGTCCGTAACGCGAAGTACCACGGCGAAATATTCATGAACTTGCCCTAAAGGAGTCACGGCTTACGACCTACCGTTGAAGGATTCGAATCGAATGGACGGGCGTGTTCTCAAAGAGTAAGGAAATAATTTTGGAGAATTGCTTGGGAGTTTGTGATAAACTAACGTGGGATTTTTTCACACAAGGTTCTTTCTTTTTAGCAGGCCACCACACAATTCGCGACTCGTCCACGTACGCAGTGTGTACACCACATAACCAGCCACCGCGAGAAATCCAGACAGTGCCATCTATTTGAAAAACGGCCGCGGCTAGTAGCTTCGTCGTGCGATTCACTGTGTGTCTTTGTTTGGCCAGATTCCTCGAAAGGTGAGTTCGTTTAATTTTACAAATTTCATTCTAATATTGACAATTCACATGATTTGAGCATCTTTTATTCACATTTTAAGACACATACAGTGACCAGAAAGTTAGTTTTCAAGGATTCTTTTCGTGATTTTGATGCCACTGTCTTTATTTTTTTGATATTCCAAGATATTAATATTTTGGCGGAAGATCAAATGCAACACGCTCTCCCTCTTTCGCTCGCGGTATGCGAGGAGTAATTTCTCAAATGAATATTGATCATGTGTATGTGTACTCTACTACCACGTCTTGAAACCTCGCATGCGTGCACTTAAACTTATAAATGGTCTTGGGGGAACTGTTACTCGTAATGTAGTTTATGGATTTTGTAATTAATTGTTTAACTTGGTAAAATGCACATGGTCGTTGTATTTTTTGTGAAGACAGGTTATTTATACTCTACTGTACAAATCCTACATGTACTGTAGATCTACATTGTAATTCAACTGTTATTAAAATCTTAGAAATGCATAGGGTCTAGGCCTACAGTTTACAACTTTGTGTAAACTTTGTGTCAATTTTGGTGTGGTATACACAGTATCTGAATTTGTTTCCTTTTATAATGAAATATAGCTCAACATCTCTGGCCTGGTAGAGTAAAAACAAGCTATTTACCTGAAATGATAAGAAGTATTGAAAATATTGTTACTAGTGAGATTAGAATACTGTTGCACAACCAGACCAAAGTATGGAATATTGACCTCAACATGGTGTAGTAATGTAAAATATTAACTACAGTACGACTACCATTATGCATTTCTTCGAATTTTAAACAGTTGAAAAAATAAATTATTGTTGAGAGAATAATGAATTGCAGGTGAAAGGTGAAAATATTGTTGGTAGTTGTACAATAATCAATCAACTGCCATGATTTTTTGCATTGGTGGAAGGACTAAACTAGGACTTTAGGAGGTGAGTTGGCTCAGTCGGTAAAGTGTCTGCCTGTGGCGATGTCCACCCAGGCGATGACTGAAGCCTGCGTTGTGTGTTAACGTGCCCCTTCCCTTGTTCATAGACGCAGGCTATGTTAAGTGGAAAACACTCCGTCCCTCGGATAGGACGTTAAATGCAGGCCCCGTGTACAGGAGAGTCACCACCCTTGCACGTTAAGACTCCACTGCACTATTGGTATAAGAGTAGGGAGAAACCCTGTGTAGTCGTCCACCTGCACATTCCAGTAACCTTGGCGTTATATCTTGACTTGTGGATCCTGTGAAGTATTGACGTAGAAGTAGAAGGAGGGAGAAAAAAAAAATAGAAATAACCAGAAGGTTTGAAAATTGGAAGTTTGTGTGATGGTACAGTACTTCAATAGTCTTCCCGGAACTGTGGGAAAAGTAAAACCTATTGTAAAAAAAAAACATTCCAAGATGTAAAGTACATGTAAACTGTCATAACTATGCATCAAAACTAAAGAAAGAAATTATAGTACCGGTATGTTAAAGTGAAAAGTTCTGTAATTCCAGTGAATTTCATTGCGACATCCATTGACTAAATGTTATCCTGTTCAATACATCCTGCTTTCTATTTACCGGTACAGGTTATCCTTGAGCATATTTGTTGAAAATGAACTTCAACTTTGCCTCTAATCAATTTTTGTCCACATGAGGGACTAAAATGATTTAAAAAATTAATCTTAGGATGAATAACGGTGAACTATATACCACCTTGGAATGTATGAGATTATGTAACAACTAAATGTACATGACTACATGTACTGTGTGAAGCATGTACACAATTAATGCTCTCATGGTACACAGTTTGTGTAGTAGTAGGTCAAAAGAGAAAAAAAAAAGTCTTAAGAAGTTGTTTTGTCAATGCTGGCATTTTTCTTGTGGACAATACTTCCTGATCACAAAATAATTCCTATCTATTTGCCTCAAATGGACCATGTAGGTAATTAAGTCTGATCGAGTCTCTCAGGAGTACAGTATACCGGTATGGCTTCTTTGATGCATTTCTATCCTGTTGAATGGGTTTGGTGTTCCATGATTTTGCTTTAAATAGAATTAATGATGATCCATGAATAGAATCAGATTGAAATTATATTGGATAACCTCACTCAAACATTGGAATGTATAATAATAATAATATTGGGTTTTTGTATAGCGCTCATATCTGTCAGACTTGACACTCCTGGCACTCCCGATTATTATTACCCTGGCCTTAGCATGGCTGCCATTACGGCACTCTAGCATTTCAAGGAATTAGTTCATGTCAGGTACCCATTTACATCACCTGGGTTGAGTGTGGCAAATTTAGATCAATGTTTTGCCAAAGGACAGTAGTGCCGCAGCAGGACTTGAACCATAGACCTTGTGATCCACAGTCTGTTGATGTATGTATCCACTCAACCACGACAACTCTACTGTCTAGATGATGTATTGGTTCAATACCAATCTGCATCTACATTATGTTGAAGCATGGAATACATTGCAAGGTGCTGTACAGATATCCCAGTTTAATTATTGCATTGTGCACCATCTCCACTCCATGAACTGTAGTATATTTTCAACCCTCATTGTGACTGTGAGGGTACAATGTACATGTACATGTACATGTACTTCAAGTTCAGTTGCAGTGGCTATTGTTTCTTTTGTCAGCACTTCTAAGTCCCATTTTTCTCCTGGGGTATGAAGCAGCAAATAATGGCTTAAATGCCGTGCCAAATACATACTGTATATAGTGGCTTTAACCATAATGATATCTTAGTTCTTTGAATTAAGAGAGCCAGGGCTGTAGAACTGTCAAACTTTATGACTGGATCATTATAATTCATTGCATTATTGAATATCTAATTGTAACCACTAACGGAGGTTTACATGTGTACTACCACTAACGGAGGTTTACATGTGTACTCCCACTAACGGAGGGTTACATGTGTACTACCACTACCATGTAACTACCGGTATAGATTTTATTTGTTGACCCTAGAAGGGCCTAGATACATGTAGGGTCACCTTCTGGCAAGTAAGGTACTCTAACTCATAATTATCATATGATCGTAACATGGACATGTTTCAAGATCCAGCTCATCTCTTGATTGATTAAAATAACTTCCATGTGAGCATATCCTTCAGTTTGTGTCTCCTTGCATGTAAGAAAATCTTTAGCAAGGATTTCATATTATGTGATCACTTGTGATCGGTATAATGCATGCCTACATTATAATCCAAGGTGGCGGCCCGCATGTTTTGCCTCTTTTTTTTGACCAATATTATTAATTTCAAAGTCATGAAAGGCTTGTAAAAAATCCACAAAAAAAAAAATCTGCTGATTTTTATTGATCGGTGATCAGATATTATTATCCAATCTCACCTGATCGGCTCAAGAATCAAGATCGGCCCCCGATACAATGATCGGTTACAGGCCTAACTGAAGTTCAGTTCCTTTCATTTTATTTGAAACTTTGAATCTGAATGCATAATTCTGCTATTCTAATCAGCATATATCTTCATATGATACAGGTCTTGTTGACATTTCATGAAACAAGCTGACACAATGTAGTACCTACATGTACATGTAATCTAAATGGATAAAACATTTTGAGATGTCATACCTGGTCAGCCTTTGAGTTAAAATATATATAAGAGACAGTGTTGTTTGTCCCTTGATTTCATTTTCATATGACATGTACACCTGTACATGTACATGTACCTAGTAAATACTGGCCTGCAATTTGACTGCAAAGGAATCAGTGGTGGAATCTGTTCCTGTAACACTATCTTTAAACTTGACGTTAATTAGAATTTCACCTTTTCCTCTCAGTCCCAAAATAACTTTTTTTTTAGAGTAAGCTACAACGTACTGTAGCCTAGTCTGCACATGTACTGTATGTATGCTTTTCTCACACATGTGGGAATTAATTGTGCACACAACAGAACACTGCCCTCTGACAGGTCAAAAGAATGTTGTCAGGGTATGAAAACATGAGCATGTTTTCATACAATGTACTGTATGTGCTATGTACTATACGCAGTGAACGGAGTATACTCCACATGTTCCAAAGTTGAATGAATAGTCAACAAGTGAATACTCTGGTGTATTGGTGTTTGATTGTGGAGCTAGATCATTGAATACCGTGAAGTGTATGCTTGATCATTTATTGGTGATGTTGAAAAGGTATATACTTTTCTTCTCTCATTGTGATTACTCATGTACAAAAGATATTTAATTTGTAATAATGGATAATAATGATATATTATTTCTCCTTTGGCATTAATTTTATGAATCTTGTGACTGATGACTCCATCATGCTTGACAGAGATTTGATCTGCGATGTTCTCATACATGTACCGGTACGTACATGGTATTGTTCGTGTACATGTGGTCATGTGCCGGTAATGGTATTCACAAATTGGTGGCTATTTTTAGAACCATAGTAATAGCTCCCTGTGCACGTGTGGATTGTGCTTGTTAGGAACTTGATAATGCAGCCTAGGCTAGGCTAGGTGGGGATACTCCTCTGAGCTGAGCTGAGTGTGGGTTGGGGTTCTCATGTCTGCCTGACCTCAAATGACCCTGCTAAGTGTCATGACCTTGCCTTGGCTAGGGAGACATGCTAGGTGTGTTGTATTGTCTCCTAATGCATAGTCACTCCATGTACACAACACATATAAGTACCTGTGTTGTATGGAGTAGACTTGCAAGGTACATGTATTTGAGAATTCTATTCCACTGTGGAACAGATTAAGCCTAACACTTTTTAGCACATGAAAGTTAGACAAATGAAAGTTAGACAAACAAAAGCAGCCACAAGTACCGGTATTGTACTTATAAATCCAAGTAATATTTAAAATTATAATTAAAGGCCTATGTGACGTGCATTGTATAAACTATAGTGCACATGATACAGACCTGTGCTGTTATACTGACCACTCAGTGACCATTAACTACATGTACAAATGTATACAGGGCATGAAAGCCATTTTCTTGACATTTTCTTGATTCAGAGCATCTTACTG